GAATATATATACAAAAAAGAAAACCAATGCCGTCGAGTCAATTCTGACTCATAGCAGTCCTATAGGACAGAGTAGAACTGCCCCATAGAGTTCCCAAGGAGCACCTGGTGGATTCGAACTGCTGAGCTTTTGGTTAGCAGCCGTAGTTCTTAATCACTACAACACCAGGGTTTCCTAATATCTATACATGTATATATATCTTTGAATCTGCTTTGTTATCTTGTATTATTAATAGATTAAACAGCTCTCTGAATCTCTGACATGTGTTCACTAAAAGACTTATGTATTTTGAAAACATCTTATAAACTGATGGGTTAGCAATCCCTCCACGCATCCAGATTATGAATTTATATGTGTGGAGCAAATATTACTGCAGAGATTTTGTGTTTGGATACGGGGGTCAAACCAGAGAGAGACAAGAGAACAGAGAGAATATATGCTCTGCTCTTGGCCCCACTCCAAGGATTAAACACTGTCCTCTATGACCTAGGCCCACAAGGAGCAGGACTGGCTTGATGATTCTGGAGACACAGTTGGCGGCTGCTTCTGAGCCCAGCCCTGAGAGGAGGAGGGTTGGTGTGTAGCAAGAACCATGAGGCAGCGGGAGCCTAGGCCCTGCAGAAAGGATCATCAGGAAAGCAAAGGGATCACCAAGGACGCTGGTGAATGGCATCTGGCAGCCAGGCACCTTTTTCTAACAGCATGTGAGCAGGATGTCATAGCAGAAGGTACGTAGGGGCTTATTTGCAAGGTCATATGGGCCACCTTCTTGAAATTCTCAAAAATAATTGAGAGAGAATCGGTAGATGCTCTGGTTTTACGCAAGGATGTGGAGTGATGCCTTAGAGAAATTCAGGTATTCATACTGAGGTAACTTCATTTGAATACCTTTCTCATACTGCAGTGCAACATGAGCTTTGTGACCAGTACCCGGGTCTTCAACGACTTGATTCTTATATTGCCCAGATTCCAGCACTAATCATTGTCCTTCCAGTGATGAAATTCCCTGTCTGAGCCAGGTTTACACAAAGTCAAGGCTCCTGGTTGCTAAATCCCAGTATTCTACAACCAGGTCCCCTATATAGTTGTTCCTGTACCTTCCCAGCATTCCACAACCTACTTCCCTGGACCTCTAACCATTATATGGGTGGGCAGGTATCTGGAACTTCCCTCAGTCTAACCTTGTGCCAACAGCATGCTAACCCTGGCTTTCTCTGCTCTAGACCAATTTCTGAGACTCAAACACAGCTTCAGTTCACACCTAATACCAGAGCCCTCTGTTGTATGTTCACATCTCCAACTCTGTTGGTTTGCAGATACCTCAGTCTCGTGTTCTACAATCTGGCCTTTCCTGAGGCCTCCCAAATATCAGTCTCAGCTGGTGTGACACAAAGAACATTTATTGTGGCAAAAAGACACAGGTGACTTAGGGACGTAGTAAATATGGTTCCATAATACCAGCCACCATGGATTTCAGGAGGCTGATGAGGTCTTAAAGAACACCTCCCCAAGTGACCTAGCGGAATGACACAGAAGCACCTGGGCACCTCAGATGCTACTGAGGTGATAATCTGGTTTGTACTAGCAGTAACTGCTTCCGTAATTAAAAAAAAGAGCATTTCCTTTTGAGATATTATTCTTTCATTCTAAATTAAAAAAATACTATGAGAAAATGGCAGAATATCGTCATGATTTTTTTAGACTTTAAACAAATAAAAGAAATAGTGAAGACTTAGTTGTATGCATAATCTCTTCCTAATTCAACACATTGTCCAATTTGTTTGTTAACAAAATGTAAATTTCATACCTATAATTATTTCACATTTTTAAATTTTTTTTTATAAATAAGCACATTTTCATTGCTAAAGAAAAATACTCAGAATAGAAACATTACGGTTTGAGTGTATTACTTTTGGCGATAGTGACCATGTCATGGATAAAATATCTCTTAATGTCCATGACTGGCTGTATTAAAGTCAAATTGTTATATTTCTCAATAATTTTGCTTATTCAGTTCATTTTGATAAATAAAACAACTAAACACTGTTGTCTGATGTTTATTCTAACTGCTTTTGGGGGAAAATTATCAAAAGGAATCCATGCTTTAATCCAGACAGTGTAAATCATCTGCAATGAAGTCTCTAGCCATCTCTGAGTGTGAGGCCATGTACTGAGGCCATATCAGAAAACAAGAAGGCACTTCAGATTAACCATTTAAATTGTGATGTCAAGATGATGGCAGGAAATTATTTTATTTAAATCAGTAATATATATTCACCTACATATCCTACAGTAAAGATTAAATACTTTGAAATCCTCAAGCGCCTGTGACTCAGATGAAAATCATTTCATAATTGCCATCGTTCCTTTGTTGGTAGAAATTGATCATGGAGGTGCAGAATGATTAGAAAATTAAACTATGGATTTTTGTGTCTGTTAGGTTTCCTGCTCGTGCTCTGACTTGTGCTAGCAGGCTCTCCTATAAACGTCTTTGCCCTATCAGTTAATGTCCTCCCAGGAGAATGGCTGGCACCGCAGGAGACCAAGGGCTCCTCACTGGTTCTAGAACACAGGCAGCTACTAACGTTTAACGATTCCAATATTGACACATTCCATTATCACTCTATTTTGATTCTGGATATGCCTTCTAACATAGCCAGTACCTATATTTTACCACTACACCCATATACTGCATTTCCACTATAACTATTTTACCCTTAATTATAGACAGAGAGATTCCCCCCAAAAAATTATTTTTTAGAAGATGGAGAATCCTAGTTCACTGTACTTCACTAACATTCTTGGAGGTTTCAGATACTTCCACAAGAGTGTTTAACATCCCACCCACCAAATCCTGTTTGGGCGAGCATATCTTGTCAGTTGTACTGGTTTTATTTCTTTGAGCCACTGCAACATTATCTCTATGAATTAAGATACAGATGTTCCTGATCAAAATAAGAAGAAAAATCTGCATTGACACTTGCATTCACCCTTCCTCAAACTATTTCAAATTTTAAAAATCTCAGAATTTGATAGCTGAAGAAAAAAGACGCATAGTATATTTTGGGTGAACTCATTCTCAGGTAAAAGAATCAGTAAAATTAATTCCACTTGCCTTTAATTCACGTACAGTGAGTAGAAACTCTTGCCTCTTATCTCCTTGATTTGGCACCCTTGCAGACTCCTGAGGTTGTCCAGAAACATCATTTGTCAAATATTCCATCACAGTTCATCAAATGAACTTAACATATAATGCAAAGACGAAAGCTTAACCAATAATTCCCAAATCTAATTTTTCAACTAGCAGGTAGGAAGTGTTGTCAATTTTTGATCCATTGATGTTCATAGAAAAAATAAAATGATGAGTGCAGTCAAAGTTGTTTCTCTGGCCAAATCATAGCTTAATAAAATTTAAAAGGTTACTAAGTCAAAGAATGTTAAAGAGTCATTGAAAATTCCCTAGGTTTTATGAGGATTCAAAACTGGATACAATTTGCAAAGCAGTCAAGTGGGCAGCCTATAAATTTATGGTGATCAGGTTCTGAAACATGACATAATTAATTGGTAGGTGATGTAACCGTAGCTTGTTTGTGTGTGAAAGTATGTATGTATGTACATATGTTGTTTTTGTTAGGTGTCGTCAAGTCAGTTCCAACTCATAGTAACCCTATGTACAACAGAATGAAACACTGCCCAATCCTGCTCCATCCTCACAATCATTGTCATGCTTAAGCCCATTGTTGCAGCCACAGTGTGGATCCATCTTTCTGAGGGTCTTCCTCTTTTTCATTGACCCTCTACTTTACCAAGCATGATGTTCTTCTCCAGGGACTGAATCCTCCTGATAACATGTCCAAAATTTGTGAGACATAGTCTCGCCATCCTTGCTTCTAAAGAGCATTCTGGCTGTCCTTCTTCCAAGACAGATTTGTTCATTCTTTTGGCAATCCATGGTATATTCAATATTCTCCAACACCACAGTTCATAGGCATCAATCCTCCTTCAGTCTTCTTTATTCATCGTCCAGCTTTCACATGCATATGAGGCGATTGAAAACACCATAGCTTGGTTCAGGTGTACCTTAGTCTTCAAGGTGACATCTTTGCTTTTCAACACTTTAAAGAGGTCTTTTGCAGCAGATTTGCCCAATGCAATGTGTCTTTTGATTTCTTGACTGCTGCTTCCATGGGTGTTAATTGTGGATCCAGTAAAATGATATCCTTGACAATGTTAATCTTTTCTCCATTTATCATGATGTTGCTTACTGGTCCAGTTGTGAGGATTTTTGTTTTCTTTATGTGAGATGTAATCCATACTGAAGGCTGTGGTCTTTGATCTTCATCAGTAAGTGCTTCAAGTCCTCTTCACTTTCAGCAAGCAAGGTTGTGTCATCTGCATAACGCAGAATGTTAATCAGTCTTTCTCCAATCCTGATGCAGCATTCTTTTTCATATAGTCCAGCGTCTCAGATGATTTGCTCAGTATACAGATTGAACAGGTACAGTGAAAGGATACAACCCTTACACACACCTTTCCTGACTATATGTATATATGATTGTATGGATATGTATCCATATATATATATATATATGTGGATATATATATACATATACGTCAGAAATTCACAGACAAATGAACATAAGCCAACAGGAGAAAATTAATTGACTCAGGTTTATCAAAATGAAAAGACACACACAGAAAGGACAGGGGTATATGTGACCTTCAACAACTGGACCAGGGTTTTGAATTGCTCCAGATCTATCTGTCTGTCTGTTGGTCACTCCCTCACTCCTACACTCACTATCCCTGTTTCTCTTTGAATGTCTTCTTTATTATCTTGGAATAGTTACCTTTAGGAACCTGGAACCATAGCTTCCAGCAGATTCTGGGATCTCACTTTCTCCACTTCATCACGAGGAGAATGGGGCTTTCTTCTCATGACTACATTTGACACATCCTGGGAATGACTTTAAATTCCCCAGCCTGGGTTATACAATCACTCCTGTTACTCCTATGATCAATAGGATGAAATAAAATAATTAGTAAGTGGAAGAAGAAGCAGCTCCTCAATGCAATGAAGGGAGAAACTGTTGTTAGAAGGAAGGGACAAAACAATAACTGCCCATTATATAAAAAAAAAAAAAAAATCATTGCATCCAACTTCAACTTTCAAGAAGTTACTGGTGCAGTGCTATTTTAAAGACGAAAGAAACCACAAACAAGAAAAAAACAAAACAAAACCCAAATCCATTGCCATGGACTCATGGCGACCCTATAGAAGTTACCTTTTATTTAGGGCCATGCTAATTTTAGATTTCTTAAGCCTAGCCCTGAGAAAGTCTGATGTGCTTATCCACCACCATCCCCAGATCAATGTCCAAAATGACCTTCAGAATCTAAATTTAAAATAGGCAATGAGACAATTGGCTCACTCTTTAACAAGGAGCTCAGCACTCAATAAAAGTTATAATTCCCCTTGACAGGTCCACTTATCATTCATGCTGAAGTAATCTTGAGAAATCCAATAGTTTATTCGAAGAACATCAGGATTTTTTAATCGTTATAAGTCAAATGTAGGCCTAGTCCATAACCTTGACATAGTTCTTCTGCTCTCCACTGTGATTCCAAGAATTAGAAAGAGGCTACTCAAGGACAAAAAGAAGACTATGAAGATATGAGGTTTCCACTAAAAAATAGGATAAATGGAGATGTCAGGTGATAAACGTTACAGGACAAGGAGAAAGGTACAAGGCTGAGATGGATTTAGGACCTTTCCATTGTAAAAGCAATGAGTCATTGGTCGTTATTACATATGGTGGCCTAATGCCTAGAGGGATTTATAAAAAACACAAAAGCACAATCCTGGCTGTGCAGCAGAAGCATTATTTGTTGGGCATATCCTGTTAATTGTTCTTTAGATAAACTTCCTAGATGAATCACCACCCAGGCAATCGCAGGAAAGAGTCCTGGGATTATAGCCCATCTCACTGCTAAAAATATTCAAATTCCCAGTACAACGATAAATCATAATGTTTCTAAAGAAGTGTGACTCATTCACTGTTTGGCAGGTGAACAATCACTGGATTAAGAGTCCTTAATATTGTAGATGTAATAATGTATTAGAGCTTTTTTCACTAATAGGTCAAGAATTCTGAACCTTACCTTATAACCCGTACTGCTTTAAGAAGCTATTATAATCCAAGTCTATGAGAATTAAATTGACTTTTTCAGAAGATGAGTAAAGAGACATTTATTATTGAACATAAAGCCAGAAATAAAACCATTGTGGTAACTCAATCAAAAAAAAAAAAAAAAAAAAAACCCTCCAAGACCAATAACCACTCAAGAGAAAAAAGGCATTTGACTTATAATATTCCCAAACCAAAGGCCCTCATCAATTTAAAATTATTTTTTAATAGCCCATAACATCAGTGACTAGTGTCTGATGTGCAGAAAGTGGACTGTGCAAAAGACCATATTAAAATCCATAGTATTTACTTTTGGTGCCATACACAAAATAGAGCAAAATAAAATAAATACACATTAAAAATAAATCTACTCTACTAAATTTAAATAGATGACAGTTTGATGAATTGGACTCAACTTTTTAAAAATTGACTCTGTAAAATAGTTGTTTTTGTTTTTCTTTTTTTAAAATGATGAATTGATGTATTTAGCTGTGAGCTGTTAAATTTGGCGGTCATACTCCAAGCCAGACTTGAAATGCTGATCTGTCTAGGGGCTGCTCATCAGAGGCTCTTTCATCATGTGGATTATGTTTTTGGTCAGCCAGTGATTTCACCTCCCAAAATGAGGTCAATATATGCCAACTAAACTCTATTTCCTTCTAAATACCTTAGACTTTTCATAGACCAAGAAAATAGAGGCTGTTGTAAGATTAAATCAAACCAAGGTTCAATGCTCATGGTGAAGAGAAACTGAGATTTCAGTGTTTATTGGGGAGAGCTGATAAAGGTAGAGAGGTTTTTCTCCCATCTCAGGGGGCTAGCTGAGAGATTGTTTTACTGCAGGAGATATATTGGCATGTTACTTACTCATCAACACCTTCAAGCCTTGTGAGGGTCTCTTTGTCATTACCTATAACTGCCAATTTACAAGACAGCCCAGTAGGGAATGAAGGAACCAACTGGAACAAATAGAGGTTTTAACACAGCTACTGACTGTCTACTCCAGTCAGCACAAGTCATGAATCTTCAATAGGAAGGAACAACTCAACTACTTCTCCTTTCAGGTCACCAAATATCACAGGCCTGAGTGATGTACCCTGGCCTCAGAAGCTGGCATTAGCTTGGGATGGAATGCTGTGTTCAGGCTGATAGCTGAAAGAAAAGGCTTAATTTTATCATATAAAGACTGTCTTTCCATATCAATTGGTTCAGGACATATCTAAGGCTTTTCCTAGTAATTCTCAGCAGGGGTTCGAACCAGGATGAACTGGTTCAAAACCCTGGTTCAATTTGTAGGGAGGACACAACTAATTAAGCAGGGTATCAGTGAAGACTGTGTGCCGCAATATAGAAACTACACAAGGACAACCCTGACGCTCAGTCTAAGCTGAAATAAGAGCAGCTTAAATTGAGAAAAGCCTTTGTCGGCCTGGAATATTTCTGCTGTGCCATTTGTCTCCCTCTGGTCATGTTTGTGTGTTTAGGTGCTCCAAGCTAGGGGCTGTTCCAGGCATAGAGTAAGGCTCACCCGTTTACCCTGGTTTTACTTTGATTTGATCTTTCAGTTAAATTGTCATTTTGTAGTTATTTGAAAACTACGCCTTGGGGAGGAGTTTGCAGTGGCAAGTAGGGAGGGTACCGAAGCAAGCAAACACAATTTATAACCATTTTGATAGCCTGTTGACAGTCAAAGTTCATGCTAGATGTTTTAAATACATTTCTGGGGTCTATGTTAGCCCCCTAGAGTGGCTGCAGGTTAAAGCTTAGCTTGAATGAGGCTTTAAAGCACTATAGAACCACCTAGAGATTTTTTTAAAAAATACCCATGGCTGCACTTCATCTCTAGATATTCTGATTTAATTGGACTAGTATGAATCATCAGAGTTTTTTAAAAGCTACTCAGATGTTTCTAATGTCTAGCCACAGCATAGAACTTGTGTTTTTAGCAAGACAAGCAGTAGGAAAACCCTATGCAAAGACACGGTGTGCTCTGTTCTAGGAGGGCATAGCTTAGTGACACTGGCTCTGTCATTTGATGAGATGCATCAGCTATAGAGATGCTCGTCTTTTTGTTTCCTTACTTCCTACCTCATCTATCAGAAGTAGAGTTGCATAAAGTTATGCAGGTCAGTATCTTAAATACTCCCCCCCTCCAATGGTGAAAAATATATCTATACACATGTATATAGTGTCTGACATGCAACAGCTTAAAACAATAATGGCGTCTGGTGAAAATTTGATCATAAGAAAATTCTGCTGAAGCAATGTCTCAGTAATCATTATAATAATAATGGCCTTTCAAAGGTATAAATCTCCTCTAATTTGGTCTTAAATTCTCTTTTAAGTTTGGCATTGAAGAGGGCCTTCTGTATCTAAAATTTGATATTCAACCACAGTAAGGAAGGCTCCAGTTTTTAAATTGACACAATTTCTTTGATAAAGAAAAGGCTGTCAAAATTATGCAGAGAAGCCCCAGGGCAGGAGGAAAGATACTTTCCATCTGAGTGGTAAATAAAGTTTTTGACAGAGTCTGAGTGAAGGAGGAGAGTGGTCCAGCTGGCACTGTGCTGAGACTCAGTCTTTGGCATGATGGAAGAGAACTAAGGAAGGGGACCCAATTAGCTCTCATCACAGTGTCCTGACACAGTCCTCCCCTCTGTGGAACCAGCCTTATGGAAAGATGATTGTATCGACTGCCATTCCACAAATAGGCTACATTATGCAGCCTACGATAAAGAATGCCTGACATTCCATGAAGCCTAAATCGAGATAGCTCAGCATATGAATTATTATCTAAGTGGGAAAGCAACCTCATGGGAAGAGAGTAGTCTAGTTCATGACAAGCAATTCAGGCTTTGCAAGTCCTGTGGTGTTCCAAATATAAATGGCCTAATAAATAGGAAGCAGTAATAGATTAACTTTGTTGCAAAGCATACATCATCATGTGAGAATTAGAATTAATATTGGATATTGATTCTTGTTTTCAAAAAATTGTCCTTCATTTTAAAGGAGTAAGCACAAAACTTGGTATAAAGAGTTCTGGATTCTATTCCCAAAGTTCAAATATGTAACCGTGAGCAACTCAATATCTCTAGATCTTGCTTTTTACCACCTATAAAACAACAGGATTCTATTTATTCATTTATGTCTTCATTCAAGAAATATTAATGGTTGCCTATTATGTGCTTAAGCACATTGCTGGGCTCTGGGGATACAGAGATGAATATTAAATGGACCCTGTCCTCAAACAGTTCAGAGCCTAGACAACTAAGTAAATAAATGGTGACTTTTCAGCGCTGTAAGAACAATGGTAGACAAGTATACAAAGTAGAAAAGAAAGTGACTAACTTGGTTAGGAAGAGGGATGGGAATCTCAGTGTAGACTTCACAGAACAAGAATTTCTTGAGCTGGGTCATGAACATACAGGTCTATCTTAGTTTTCAGATTCTGTAACTTTAAAATTGAAAATAAAATAGTTCAATAATAAATGGATTTATGTGGGTCAATTCATTGATTTTCTGTATATAAACTGCAATTTTTTTTCATAATTTCTGGAGACTTTTAAGTCTTGTAGATTATCAGCAGTATCGTAGAGTAAGATCCATTAAGCACCTTGTTATCCTTCCATCATGCTATATCAGGGCCCACACTGGAAAGAATCATGGTGTCACAGTCCCTCAACTCAATTGTTTCTAAATGCCAACCATATGCTTGGCTTTGTACTACATGCGGGACAGAGGAAGAAGAATAAGACATAGTTACACTTTCTATGAGTTTATAGATAGTTGGGGGAAACAATATGCAAAAAAAGAGATTACATTATAATAAGCATCATAATAGAGGTAGGTAAAAGCTATTACAGAAACACAAAGAAGGCAGCATGTAATATTGACTGAGGGTAGGGGTTTTAGAAGAATAATAACATCACAGTTCACAAGCATTGAGCCCTTACACCATGCAGGCATTTTCCATGATTGTCTCATTTAATCTAATTACAATCTTATAAGGTAAACATTATTACTCTTTCTACGTGAAGAAACTGAGGCTTAGAAAGATTAGTAATCTAGGCTAAAATCACAATTATTCTTTAATAAAGTGAGCTTTATATCCAAGTCTGCCTGAGACCGAAGGAAATTTTCCTAAGTAAATGACTGTATTAGTTTCCTAGGGATACCATAACAAATTACCATAAACTTGGTGGCTTAAAACAAAGTAGTTTATTTTCTCACAGTTCTGGAGACCAGAAGTCTAAAATCAAGATGTCAGCAGGCTACTTCTGTCTCTAAAAGCCCCAGGGGAAAACCCTTCCTTATCTCTTCTAGCTTCTGAAAGCTCTAGGCATTCTTTGGCTGGGGTAGCATAACTGCAATATCTAACATTACATAAACTTCTCCTGTGTGTCTGTGTCTTCTCTCCTTTTGTCTCTTATAAAGACAATGATCATTGGATTTAGGACCCACCCTAATTCATGATGATCTTAACTCACAATCTTTACCTTAACTACATCTGTAAAGACCCTTTTTCCAAATAAGGTTACATTCACAGGTACTGAGAATTAGGACTTGGACATAACTTTTTAGGAAGCACAATTCAACCCACTGCAGTGGTGCTTTAGTGAACTAGTTAGGACAAGTTGTAGCTGATCACAATGGGAGACAACATATCAAACACAGATAACAATAGGTACCAAGACTAGATGGGTAAGCAAATGCCATACTGGGAAAGCGCATGTGCTGGGAACACCAAAACAAACAAAATGTGCCAAGAAACAAGTTTAAAAAACTAGACAATGACTAGATAATAGACAGAATTGCCCACTGTGATGGTTAATTTTATATTGTATTCATTCTATTTCTTGAGAGAACCCTTGCTAAGACAGCTTTTGGCACTGGGAAGTGTGGTGCTGCTATAACAAATACCTGAAAATGTAGAAGTGACTTTGGACTTGAGTCATGAATAGAGGGTGTTAGAGTTTTGACATTCTTGATAGTAAAAGCCTAACAGACTATCGGTGGAATTATGGATGTTAAAGGTGATTCTGGTGAGTACTTGGAAGAAAGTACAGACAACTATCGAGAAAATTACAGTAAAGAATACAAATATCATCATGAACAGAATGTTGCTAAAAATATGAATGTTAAATGTGCTTCTGGTAATGTCTTAAAAGGAAATGATGAACATGTTATTGAACACTAAAGGAAAGAAAATCCTTTTTATAAAGTGTCAAAGAATGTGGCTGAATTATGTTTGAAGTTTTGAGGAAAGTAGAACATGAAGGTTTGGAGAATTCTCAGCTTATCCATTTTGTAAAAATTGAGAAAGCAAGCTCTGGAGAGACACCGAGGGTGGGCTTGACAACTTTTGCTAAAGATACTAGGCTTGTGACTTATGGATCCAATCAACCATCTCAGCAGAAATGTTACCACTTTAGACTGAAGGGGACAGAGATGGAATGAAATGAATAAAAGTTATCCAGCTTCTGTAATTCTACAGGTAGAAAATAGGCCAACAGAGCTGCTCAGCTGCAAATATCTTTTGTCCTGCAAAATAAGGAAAAAATGATTCTGAGAGTGGTTCAGAGGTCAGCGAGGTCACTAGCTAGCACAGGGCTGCTGCTTCATAGGTTCCTAAGGGTAGGACCACCTCTTTGGTTCCAGGGGGGAGGGTAACCACATGGTGGGCTAGGAGAAGAGGGCTGCCACCTTGGTAGACTTGGAGGGCAGAGGATTATTTTAAAGCCTTGAAACATAATGAGATTTGTCCTACTGGGTTTTGAACTTTCTTGAGAACTTCACCACTTTTTTCCTTCCAATTTCTCCCATTTGGAATGGGAATGTCTATCCTATTCCAACATTGTACCATGGAAGCAGATAACTTTCACTCTAGGTTTCACAGGTCTACAGATGAAGAGGAATTTTACCCAAGGTGGAACACACTTAGAGTCTCACCTTGATTTAGATGATTTCGAAGATGAGATTTTGGACCTAGAGTTGATGCTGGGATGGATTAAAACTTTTAGGGATGCTGGAATGGGATGAATGTATTTTTTCATGTGGGAAGAATATGAATTTGGAGGGGCCAGAGAGTGGACTATATTATGTATTGAATTGTGTTCCCCCCAAAAATACATTGAGGGCCTAACTCCTGTATCTGTGAATGTGACCTTGTTTTGATATGGAATCTTTAAAGATGCTATCAGTTAGGTTAACACGAGGTCATACTGAGATAGGGTGGGCCCTAATCCTATATGACTGGTGACCTTAAAAAAGAGAAGATACATAGAGACAGGCAGACAGAGAAAGGATGCCACATGATGGTGTAGCTGTACACCAAGGAATACTTGGAGATATGAGAAGCAAGTAGAGAGGCATGGAACAGATTATCCCTCAAAACCTCAGAAGGCATCAACATGGCCAGCACCCTTATCTCACACCTCAGCCTCCAGAACCGTGAAACAAAAAATTTCTCTTCTTATAACCCACCCACATTGTGGTATTTTGTTATGGTAGCCCCAGGAAACTAAGACACCCATATGCTAAGTGATTAGAGCTATATTCGAACTTGGGAGTCATTTAAGAGTTTTTAAGTAAGAGAATAGAGGTGGGGCCAAGATGGCGGAGTAGTCAGACACTTCCTGTGGTCCCTCTTACAACAAAGACGTGAAAAAAACAAGTGAATTGATTATATATGACAATCTAGGAGTCTTGAACATCAAAGGCAAAGTTGAGGAATCAGACTGAGTGGCAGGGGGAGAGAGAGACTGCTCAGAAGCAGTGAAGAATTGCCAGACCTGAGCCGGTGGGAGCCAGCACCCTTCAGACCTGATCAGCTCGCCTGCACAGTGAGGCAAGCAGCGGCACTCAGAAGGCGTTTTCCACAACAAGAGACACCCAGTGGCAGAAAGTCTACTTGGGCATCCAGAACTGGTGAAAAGCAGCATGCAATTGGCAAAAGATAAGTACTTGCAACTGACCCACCACATGGATCAAAAAACATCCCCTTCGGGAAAAACCTCTCTCCCATTTACCTGTTCCCCACACCACTGCCCCCTGCTCTGCACCAGGACCTGGGCTGACTTTAGTGATTACCGAGTCCCCGGGCCAGAAGTAGGACCCATCATATGCCCTGAGCCATTCTCCTGGCCTTGGAGAGGGAACAAATTAACAAACAGGGAAAAAATAATCTGCCGGCTCTCCTAAGCCAGGAAATCAGGGTAGGCACAGCACCTTTGCCTACACACAGGCATAAGGGATTCACAGACTCTGAATGCCTTTCAACCCTGAGTAGACCTGTGTGGGCCCACTTCAACAGTGTAGGCCCTCATTACCACAGTACAACAGGGTATATACCTGAAGTCTAACTTCAACTGTTTCAGCTATACGGTGAAGTGGCAGATTAGTAACATTTGACACTGCTCTGACCATTAAGCAGGGTCCTCACCTACCTACATCAGGGGCCTGAGGACTGGTGGCTCTACCCACGCCACCTAGACACCCACGACAGAGGTCCAAGAATAAGTGATGCCCCCTAGTCCTTACAGCCAACAGCATTGGGTACTATGGTCTGGCTGCAAAACCCACCCACCTATGCACTCTAGGGAACAGGGACACGCTTTTCTCCCAGACACTCAGAGGCAGCCGTCAGCCCCCTGCCTTGCTCAGCACATCACACTCTATTGCAGCCTGATACCTGCGCCTACATCAATCACCCATGCCAGTCTAGGACTGTAGGTGAGAGCGTCCACCACACCCTTGGTAACTGACTACCTGGACACCTGAGCTGAATTCATACAAGACAAGTAAATGGATTTCTGGGCTCACATACTTAGTAACAGATCTAAACAGCTGGTGACAGGACCTTAGAGCTTCAAAGGCACCAATACTCAGACTAGCTCACATGAGCAGCCTATCCGGGCATATCAAAACTAAACAAAACAAAACAAGAAGCTAGGACATAGTAAGCAAACATAAAATGAATAAATATAATAACTTATTGATGGCTCAGAGACAACAGTCAATATCAAATCACATAGAGAGGCAGACCATGCTGGCTTCAGCAAGCTCCCAAAATAAAGAATCAAGAAATATTCCAGAGTAAGAGAACTTCTTGGAATTACCAAAAGTAGAATACAAAAGATTAATGTACAGAACTCTTCAAGATATCAGGAAGGAGACCATGCAAAATGTAGAACAAGCCAAGGAACATACAGACAAAGTAATAGAGGAACTTAAGAAGATTACAGAAGAGCATAATGACAAAGTTAACAGGCTGCAAGAATCCATAGAGAGCCAGCAAACAGAAATCCAGAATATTAACAATAAAATTTCAGAATTAGACAACTCAATAGAAAGTCATAGGAGCAGAATTGAGGCAATGGAAGTCAG